AACAGATTGGTGGGGACAGCGATGAGGGAACTGACCATTGGCTCCAGCCGCTCCCCATTGCAGAAGACACACAAACAGGGATTGCTGGAGAAACTCAGCAGGTTCTGGCAGTGTCTGTGAAGAGGGAGACAGTTTCTAGTCCAGTGACCCTTCCTTAGAACAGATGGTGGTATTTGTGATGATGTTGCATGTGGGGAGGAGGCAAGAAGTGAACAGATCATTTGAGACAGAGAGCCCTGGAGAGAGAGAGACAGAGAGAGAGCCCAGAGGCAGAGAGAGAGAGAAAGACATATAGACAGACAAAGAGAGATAGACAGACAGAGACAGAGAGAGAGAGAGCGCGAGAGAAAGAGAGAGAGAGAAAGACAGAGCCCAGAGACAGAGAGAGAGCCAAAGAGAGAGAGACAGAGAGAAAAAGAGAGAAAGCCCAGATAGAGAGAGAGAGAGAGCGAGAGAGAGAGAGCGAGAGAGAGACAGTGAGCGAGCGAGCTTAGACAAAGAGAGGAAGAGAGAGAGAGAGAGAGACAGACAGACAGGCATACAGACAGGCAGAGTCCAGAGAGAGAGAAAAAGAGAGGGAGCCCAGACAGAGAGGGATAAAGAGAGAGAGAGAGAGAGCGAGAGAGAGAGTAAGAGAGTGCAAGAGAGACAGACAGACAGACAGAGACAGCCCAGAGAGAGAGAGAGAGAGAGAGAGAGAGAGCGCAGGAGATAGAGACAATGGGATAGTTGACAGGAAGCTGGGGAAGAAGAGAGGTTCTACAAACAAAATCAAAGACCTACAGGTGGCTCAGGGTCTGAAACACAGACAGAAAGTGCTGGAGAAACACAGTAGGTCTGGCAGCATCTGTGGAGAGAAAGCAGAGTTGACATTTCAGGTCCAGTGACCCTTCCTCAGAACAGAGAAGCTTGGTTGGTGATAATGGGGATGATGAGTGGGTTGTGTTGAATGCAATCTCAAAATGGTGTTCTCAAAAGACTAGCCTCTCAATCAAAGGTTGACTGAGGATTTCTGAAGGCACATACGTTGCACTGAAAATGGTATAGCACACTGTTATACAAAGAGAGAGTGAGAGAGAGAGAGCTGCTGATAGGAGCAGACTAACCAGGTACACAGAGATAACAAGGTGTAGAGCTGGATGAACACAGCAGGCCAAGCAGCATCAGAGGAGCAGGAATCAGCTCTACACCTTGTTATCTCAGATTCTCCAGCATCTGCAGTTCCTACTATCTCTAACCAGGTACACAGCTTGCTAATATATACAGACATACACAAGTTAAGGTGCAGCACAAACATGTCTCACTGAAGGTCTCTCAGCCTCTGGAAATGTCTGAAGTGAGTTTGCTCTGGCTTTAGGTCGCTGTGTGGACTACACTGACAGGACCATGCACAACTTAGGCTTCAAGTGGAGGAATTCTGACTGCCAAATCTGTCAGTGCCTCCGCACTGTCGTGGCCTGCCGAAACAGGTAAGTGTCAGCATCGTTCCTGTTCTCCTCATGCTCCTGCGTTGCAGCACCAGTCAGAGGGCAAGCTGCTCGACTGCAGGTGGCATCACCACCCAGCACTGACCCCTCTTCCCTCCGCACCCCCCTGACACAGAGGGGACAGGACAATTTACTGGGGCAGAGTCAGCAGCTCAGGGGAACCAGACACTCGGCTTCTGGAGTTGGACACAGTAACAGAGCAACCGGGAGCAGGACGAGGCCATTCGGCCCTTCCAGCCATTCAATATGAGCATGGCTGATCATCCAACATCCGCCCCCATTTCTCCCTGTTACCCTTTTGACCCCTTCAGCCCTAAAGACTAGATCTACCTCCCCTTGAAAAACGTTCAACATTGTGCACACCTGACTTCCAAAAAGACAATCCATTGCTGGGCTGCTCCCGGCCAGGCCAACATGTATCTCCAATTCAATTGCCCTCTTTCTGATGGTGAGCTGCTGTCTAGGATTGTGATAGTTACATTGATGGGCCAAAGGGCCTTTTCTGCGCTATCTATGAAAACAGGACCAATCCTGGACAACCAAGGGGAGGGGCCTGCGCTTTAAAACCCTGCTGCTCCCTTCTCCAATCCCGACTGGATCCGGGGAAGGGCAAGCACAGGGCAGTTTGAGAGCAGGGATCCACCAGGATCCTCCCAGTCACCGGAAACCACCTGCCTCAAGCTCTTACCCAAGGCTCTGAGGCCAACAATGCTTTCTCCCACTCTCTGCGGCTTGTTACTCAGGAAGCAAGTGGGCATCGTGGAGGAAGGGGAATGGGAGAATAGGTACATCAAGGAGAATGTATTCCGAATGGATCTCCATCAACGTGCAGGAGCGACAGGAGACCCTGTTCGTCGAAACATGCCTGGCACCATTTGTGGCTAATAGGGAACGCAAACAGGCTGTCGGCCTTTATTCCAAAGGGATTGGAGGACAGAAACAGGGAAGTGTCGCTACAACTGACCAAGGCACTAGCCAGACCCCAGCTGGGATCCTGTGAATAGTTTTTGGGCCCCTTATCGAAGGAAAGATTGGCTGGTATTGGAGGCAGCCCAGAGGAGGTTCACTCAGCTGGTCCCAAGGATGGAGGGACTGTCTAATGAGGAGGGGTAGAGTAGGTTGGGCCTGTACTCACTGGGGTTTAGAGGAATGAGAGGGGACCTTATTGAAACAGACAAGATTCTGAGGGAGGGGTTGACAGGGGAGATGCAGGGAGGGTGTTTCCCTGTGAGGGAGGGTCTGGGACCAGAGGGTGTAATCTCAGAGAAAAGGGTCACCCATGTCAGACAGAGAGAAGGAGAAACTTCTCTCTCTCAGAGGGGAGTGAATCAGTGGGATTCTGTACCACAGAGGGCTGTCGAAGCTGGGTCATTAAGTATATTCAAGGCTGGGAGACACAGATTTTTAATCAGGGAGTGGAATCAAGAGTTATGGGGAAAGGGCAGGACAGTGGATTTGGAGATGATCAGAAATGCCACAATCTGACTGAATGGTGGAGCAGACTGGATGGGCCGAATGGCCTCCAGCTGCACTGATGTCCTGCGATGGTCTAATTCTGCCTTTCCTTTTCGGCTGTGCGTCCAGTTATTCCACGCCGGAGAGGTATCCAGATGACTGCGTCGCGGTGTTTGAGAGGGAAAATTGTCGGTACAGGTTACAGAAGAAGACCAACCCCATGGTGGAATGTCAGACATGGAGAGGTGCATGATTCACAGCTTGAACGACACGGCCCAGTGGCATTGCGATGGGAGAAGGGGGCTGTTCCATCACACACCAATGCATTGGCACCTGCCAACCTTGGCACCGTCACCCAAAACAGACAAAACACAATAAAGTGAAGCGACAGTGGTCGTGTCCAAACCATTTTAATCTCTGACCTTCTCTCTGTGAAGACTTCCCTTCGTGCCCTCAGACCATTTGGCCCTGCAAAGGGCCAGGATTGGGGGTTACAGTCAGGGCACTGGGTGCCTCTCGTCTTGTGTGAAGCAGGTAGATCAGTCAAGGGAGTGGGCCACAGTTAGCTGTCGAATCCATGTACAGAAACTAAATGGAAAGGAGATGGGAGAGTGGGGAACAAAGAAGGGCTCCTGCTGTTGGAAGAGACTTGAGAACCTATTTGTGGGGATTATGGATTGCAGGCTGGGAAGAACGGGGATGACAGTTGTGAAGGAGGTATTTTTGTAAGGGTAGGATGTATTGTAGAATTGATGGGCACAGGATAATGTGAGAACCAAGTTCGGCCATGACCAGGAGCAACCTGGTGTCAGTGTCTGACTACACCTGGCATGGTCACCTCATATACAGGGATAAGGGAAAGGTGGGCAAGTGCAGGCTCATGTGGATGGGTTGGTGGGTACCTGGAGGAAGTGAGAAGCCTAGGATATTCATAGGAAGGGGTATCAGGAGGCAGATCTGGATGCTTAGGCCTCAGTGACACATGGAGCTGCAGGGTGGAGTCAATTGCCCAAAGTGAGATCACTGTTGTGTTTCATCATGGTGGAAATCAAAAGTTCACATTGGGAAAGAAAATAGCTGTGACAACGCCCAGAGTGGGCAGTATAAGTGTCTCTTATACTGTGGGGGGAGGGTCTGAAAGACCCACCAACGTGAGGCCCAAGAAAGGGCCAAACAATGACACACAGATCAATGCACTGTACAGGACGCAAACTGTGAGCTTCCGAATTCCTGGTAATCAGGATGCATTGGCTCCCTCCATGCTGACCAACTCCCTGCCCCAGATGTTGCTTCATTTAATACCAACAAGTTTTCACACAGAGGCCTGGGAAAACATTGGACCAAGAGAGGCAAAGGTGCCAGCAGAATCCATTGCCCTGTATACACCTTGTTCATCTTCCATGGTCCTTGCTGTGCCTACATGAAATTAGACATCATGGGTGGGCAGGGGAGAGGGGTGGGGGGCGATGCAGAGATGCCAACAAGAGCTGGAATAGAACCACACACATTTGCGCCAATGTAAGAGTTCATAGACACCACAATGCCACCTGTAACACCAAAAGGACATTTTTCGCTTTCTCTCCCTCTCACATCTTTGTGTGCCTCCTGGTACCACAGCTGGAATGGACGGTGCTTACTTGGCAGCAGGACCTGCGGGTTTGGTTGGTTGACCCTGTGCCTGGACGGCCCGGCGATGCTGAGGCGAGAGTCCCTCAGCCTGAGCCTCCAAGGGGCGGAGAGAACAGGTAGGTCGAGGTGAGGGTGGGATTTGTGTAGCCTCTGTGTGCTTCCTCCTCCAGCCTGGCACCGTCCTGTCCCCATGTGAGGAAGGGGCACCCTGCATTATGCAGCAAGTTCTCCATGCCCCCTGACTCCAGGCCTTCAGTCATGAGGAAGGGGCAATGGAGAGCTGGGGGTGTGCTCACCCTGATGGTGCAGTGCCCAGTTCCCCATGGCAGCTGCCATCCTGTCCATGGAGGCAGCTGGATAACACAGCTGTTTGGGGCAGCTCTCCCTGCATTAGCTCCCCCTGCATACTACCCCCCGCCAACACCCACCCACCTTCATCCTCCACAGCACCACCCCTCAATAACACCAGCTTCCTCCTCCCTGCAACAGATCAAGGCAGCAGCTCAACACCCCCTCTCTCGATAAGGGATGGTCAACAAATGCTGGCTCAGAGAGTGATGCTCACATCCTGACAAAGCACACACTAAAGGACAGCAAAGGGCTACTTCTGTGAGGGGATCTGTGTGTGCTCGTGTGAGCCTGTGTGATTGTGTGTGTGCATGTCTCTGTGCGTGTGAGTGTGAGTGACCGTGTCTGTGAGAGAGTGTCCACAAGAGAGTGTGCCGGAGAGCGTATGTGTGTGCGAGAGACAGTGCATGAGAGAGAGACAGTGTGTGAGAGAGAGAGAGTGTGTGAGAGAGAGAGAGTGCATGTGAGAGAGAGTGTGTGTGAGAGTGTGTGTGAGAGTGTGTGAAAGAGAGAGTGTGAGAGAGAGAGAGTGTGTGAGAGAGACAATGTGTGAGAGAATGTGTGAGAGAGTATGTGGGGGAGTGTGTGAGAGAGTGTGTGTGTGA